CCCCAAAACCCCAAAACCCCAAAACCCCAAAACCCCAAAACCCCTATAAACTCGTAGTAATTGGAGAATAATAATTTAATATTAGATAGGAAATATGTTACAGAACTTAGTATCAGAAACTCATGCTGAACTATTGCGAACGAATGTGCATGAATCCAACAAAGAGTTTGATAGAGAGTTCCTACTTGATGACTGTGATATCCCTGACGAGATGGATGAGGATTCTCCTATCTCAGCTCCTTTGGCTTCTAGAACAGAAAATATGAGTGAAAACATCCTGTTAAGGAATAAAGGGCATCTTAAAAAGGCAGACAAGCTCGAATTCGCTGCTAGAGAAAACTTCTATACTTCTGTCAGAATTATTCCGGAGATGAGCCTCAGCCATACTAAGGAGACACAGGTAAAAGGAAGATCTCAGATCTTATCAAGACCTTTTAAGACTCCTCAAAAGAGAACAAGAGTTGTTAGAAGAAACCCTAATCGTGCTAAAAGTCAAATAAAATGGAGGAAAACTAGATTATCTTCCACAAGAAAGAATATCCGAGGTAGAAAGACTCCAAGAGCCAAAAGAATTCTCTACCGTAAGAATAAAAGAACTATGTCAATCGATAAAAGATTCACCAGCACTGCTTTTGCTCCTTTGTACAACAGTGGGCACAAAACTCCGCCTTCAAGATACATCCAGCATAAAGTTACTGGTGATTTTATGTGCAATCCAGAAGTACAGAAGGAGCCAGAAAGCGATGAATTTACTTCTAGAGGGATCACCATGAAGGACATCCTTCCTATCTCGAACTAATTTAAATTACTTAACTTAATATATCCACGAACTGTCTTGAGGATTGGGTCCTACCTCGTTGTCGATAAGATAACCAGGATTATGGTTTTCGTATATCTCTTCATTTTTGATAAGAAAAATGGCGAATGTACACATAATTATATTCGTACTGACCATACAGCCAGTAAGAAAATAGAACCCCATTCAAATGATTCTAAGAGGATAGGTAATCAGAGAGGAGAACTCTTCGCATAAGACTGTCGCTCTGATTATCTTCCATTTTTATCAGAAAATGGCAGTCTTGTTTAAAATTTATAACCTGAAACTTACGAATGTTAGCTAAATTTTACAGTTATTTTATTGCCAGCTATTATAAACACCGAGTAGAGTATTTTTAATAGAAGAGGTGCTCTTCTACCTTTCTGTACGCTTAGGGGTTTCCATTCATGAAAGATACGGAAACATTAGAAAGTGTGTGACGAAACGACTAATCTAGACATGTGTGACGTTCTCAGGATTTTGGCTTTAGTTCAAATTTAAGGGTTACTTCTTCTCCATGGGTTGAGTTATAATTAAGCTTAGACTTTTTCCAACAAGTTTTATGAAAATATTACCTAATTTTAACCATATTTTGTACAATAAATAAGCTTATTTTAACAGAGGTGCTTCTAAAAGTATACAAGTTTTCAATCGTTTTTAGAAGGTTAGGCCAAAGGGCTAGAGCTTTCTTTTACTTTGTTAAGGAATTACAATTTCAAATTTTTATACACTCTACACTTCCTTAAAGTGCAAGTGATATAGCTAAAAATAAATTGATAGATGAACACCCTGGGTTTATGCTCTACATTTCTAAAGAGGGATTGAGAAGAGATTACTCCACGATAAGATAAATTATTCACTCTCAATATATCCAAAGAGGCTCTCTTAATTTCTTTGATCTCCTATATATCATTGCTGAAATTAGCTGTTCTCAAATTAGTAGTAGAGCTAATAATTCAATTATCATATCAGTCACATTATCAGAAGCAAAATTTGAAGATTTTATGACATATTCGTATCCTTCTTTAATCTCTCTAAAATTCAGAACCAGTGTTCACCATCTACATATATGGTCAAATTGTGCTTGACTAGGACGAGTGTCAGACACTGAGTCCTCATTATAGCTATACTCAAGAGCATAAGAAGTTTCGCCACTGGGTTAAAAACTCACTTACCAGGATTAATTTCACAATTTCAAAATTTCTGAAAATCTATAGTTATGAAATATTTCTACAAAATAATATTTGAAGACAGAAGAGAAAATATGGGAAAATTTAGTAATTTTTTGAAACTTTTTATATGCTTTCCCTTCACGAACGTCTCTGAATAATTGTAAGGAAATAACCTGAATTTATACTCTTTTTATACATCATTTGGGGTGAAGCAAATATTGGTACCCTATAGAATTTTTGTACATCTCAGACCAGCAGATTTTATAAAAGATATCACCATATCATCTGGGCAGAAAGCTTAAATAGCCAAGAAGGTCTCCTTTGTAAGATATCGGTGAAAAGCCTGGGTTTTTATATGAGGATAAACCATTTTTATGCATATTCTTAGATTTTTGATCAAATCACTTTTAATCCTTAACTTCTGTTCAGGAATATATTTTTAGGTGACTTCGAAAGCATTCTTATTGAGATTGAATAAAATTGTCATGCTAAAAGATTAGAAAAGTGTCAGAATTCAGCTAAGGTATCTAAAAAGTTATATCCTACCATTTCCATTGGGAAGGATGACCAAGGCAAGATATGAACTCTCTTTCATTCATGAAATCCAAGTCTTAGCAAGATGTTATCCCACGTTTCTCTTCAGTATCAGTTTCAGTTTTCTCTAGTTATGAGCTAGTCTAGTCAGTATTCCTAAAATATGTTCATACCTCTGTATCAGATCACTGAAAGAGAGATCCTGGTAGTCTGTTATAGCCCATTGAGTTCGTGAGAAAGGTACCACCTTAAAAGGTAGAAGCAGCAGAGGCTTAGAATATGTAGGTCTATTAGATGGATTTAGAGGGAATGTTAAGATAGTTCTGTGCCGAAACAAAGCAAGGGTTTCAACGGGAATTAATTTATTTGGGGTTTTGGGGTTTTGGGGTTTTGGGGTTTTGGGGTTTTGGGGTTTTGGGG